CTCGCAATCTGCGGGTCGCGGGTTCGAATCCCCGTCACACCGAACATGCTCGCCCTTTCAGCCGTGGGGACGTTATAATGTGACAGTCAATCCCACTATTCGTTGGTAAAAGAGTAGCCCAAGAGTTGTCATCACGACTAGCTGCCTTCCCTCTAGTCTTACACTGCTAAATTAGGGACGGCTAGCGCAGATATCCTTCGTGTAGCTTTGCGCGAAAATTCAAAAAACAAACAAGCAGATTTGTGCAGCATGGGACTACTATTCGCAAATTAGGTCTTAAACCTGACCATTCCCATTGTTAATAGTTTACAATTCAAGCGCTGCTTATAGGCAAACATTTCACCATCAACAACCATACAGTTGAGGACTTTTCAATTTTGGGACTTATTAGTGTTCCAACAGACGTTCACAAAAGAGAACGACTGGGAAGGAGATTAATCTACAATCTATGGTTTAAATGAACGCTTTTCTTTCCTGTAGATTTCTATTTTCTTTCCATGTTTTGTTTAAATTTTCATTTCAATTTATTTTATCTTTCCATGGCTTGCGATATTTATGTATAAGATGTAATTTTGTAGATAAATTTTACGTTCAACGTTCAAAATACTACACACGCATTCTTTTTAATTCTGCGCAAGCGCCTTTGTTGTCCGCTGTACGATTTGACGAAGTGCTCTAGCTCGAAACGTCATCCTCTTAAAATAAGAATATAAAAAAGCAGGAAATGTGTTTGTTGATTTCTTAATTTAATGATTCATTTGATTAAAAAGGTATTTTATTATTATTAATAACTTCGGTGATATAACAGCAACATAATTTGATTCGGAAATCAATTAGGTTTAAAACTGAATCGATATTTTTACTTTCATCAGAAATATTATGCATTTAATTCTAGTCTGGGTGATTTCAACTATGTGTGTTTACCAAAGAGTAAAAACAGCTAAGAGGGAGGGCGAACTATCCGATTGTACAGGCCTATATATATTGGGTAGACCCGAGCGACATCTATATTTAAGATCGATGAATTTAAAGAAACAAAAGACCCAAAACTCGAGTATTCGAATATTTGACTATTCGTCTTCAGGAGAATAGAGAATTTAATGTTGTTCTCATATCCACAAAATGACGTTCCGCTCGAACAAACACATCCAGTATTGCTGCATAATAAACGGCTCGAAAAATTACAAAGAATATATGGAAATGCCATTTCACCATCTCCCAGTGAAGGTTAAGGAAAGATGAGCACCTCTCAACATCTCAATCTTTAATATTAACCCATGTAACTCCATTCAAAGCCAGGATTGTATGCCTTATCCAGTCAGTTAGGCTTGTTCTTCCTCGTCATTGATCTTCTCTGATCTCTAATTCATTAGACATTTCTCAAACTAAATCAAGGAGGCTCTACTTTTTCGCCAGTTCTGTCATCCACCCAGCATGTTGGACATCTATTCTAAGCAGAAATGTGCAAGGCGAAATTCTAACGAAAAAAAGAGCTGTGTGTGAAGGTGAATTGAAGCTTTCCTAGCTTTAGGCTTGAAAATTAGGCCTATGCCGCATGGCCGTTATCTTACATTTTGCGCCAAGAAATTGAAATGTGGGAAATAAAATATACGATTCTTCACCTCTGAAGAAGCTAAATTTCTTTATTTTTTATTCGCTCATAAACATTTATGACTTAGTTTAGTCTTGTTTTGTTTTCACGTCAGTACTGATTAAATTCTTTTGTAAACTTAATCTGTATATAATAATTAATCATCGTGGTTACCTACCTACTAAAAGGAACAAAATGATAATTAAAAATTTAGATTATTCACTGGAAAATATAAATAAATATGTATCTAATAACCAAGGTGAAGACACACAACAAAAATGTAATCCATCTTGGAATACACTGATGGTAATTGAACTTTGGTCACTGGTAACCAAATGTTAATTAAGCTAAATCAAAATTTTCAAGCCCTGCCTCCTTATATACAAATATATACTGCGTGTATTATAATTCTACTTAAAATATACTTGAATTTCTCACTTATCTAAGAGGAAGAACCCTGGTATAATTTCTTATTTTTCACATTTCAACAAATTATGTAACTTAAATAAATATTTTTTATTTTGATAGAGAATAAGTAATAAATAATTATTAAATTGGGACCAATGAATTCACATGATCTTTTACGTGTTATATTATGATTTTTGCTAAAAATGCAAAGATATTTTAATACAAAACTGGGCAATAAATTATGATTACTTAGTTAAAAACCAAGCGAATTGTTAAGTACTCTCTGCAGTAGCCAGGCAACATCATAATAATCATAGTCATTAATATTATAATCATCATGCTGTATTCTAACTGCATCGTCATTATATCATCATATCACTACCTATATATCACTCACCATTGACGAAATCTCATCATTTATTTTACTAGTCGTGTCTTCCACTAAAGTATATATATATAAGTAGCCCTTGGTAGTGGTTCGTGAACGACCATAACGACAGGTAGCGCTAGTGAGCCATTGTGTACGCCCAGTAAGTGTGCACTGTCCTTCTAGTTATTTTTTACTCTGTCTTTACTTTAAGCTTAATTGGAAAAATAAAAAATAAAAATATATCTTAGGCTCACTTACAAAACCTGATAAGTTTAATAACATTTTGTTATTTATATCTTTGTAGCAGTTTTTTGAAGACTTCTAAGATTTTTATGACCTTGAGTTGTAGACAAAAAGTAACCAAATATTTCAGTGAAGTAGTGTTTCAGGTAGCCTTATTAAAGAACAAAAATGTTGAGGGAAATTGAAGAAAAAAATGGGCCTTCTTCTGTCGATTTAGTGAAAGAAATATTTTGAAGATAGGAGCATGAAGGGAAAATACGTATGTAAAGAGGAATATGTTTGGGTATATATTTGTCGTTGTTCGATTTACGTATATATATATATTTAATTTTTGTTCATGTCGGTATTAGATACATGCATGATTTTATTGTACCATGTCGAAATTTCTGCAGCTACTTAGCGAATCTGAGCACTCTATTGTGCTGGATGCACCCATTGCACCCAAATCAAAGCATTTTTGCCAAACAATGTATTGTAGTCAGTCTCCTTTGCTTATTAACAAACGCAATGCAATTTTCCTTATTGAAATAATACATGGAATGACAAAGGACGGTTTTAAATGGCCAACTATACAATCATATTGTACATACGTTATGATCCAAGGCATTGAATTTATTGCACATTTTATATTTATTAATATATACGCTATGATCCAAGGCATTGAATTTATTGCACATTTTATAGTTATTAATGTATACACTATGATCCAAGGCATTGAATTTATTGCAAATTTTATATTTATTAATATATATACTATGATCCAAACATTGAATTTATTGCACATTTTATATTTTTTAGTATATACGCTATGATCCAATGCATTGAATTTATTGCACATTTTATATCTATTAGTACATATGCTATGATCCAAGGCATTGAATTTATTGCACATTTTATATTTATTAATATATACGCTATGATCCAAGGCATTGAATTTATTGCACATTTTATAGTTATTAATGTATACACTATGATCCAAGGCATTGAATTTATTGCAAATTTTATATTTATTAATATATACGCTATGATCCAATGCATTGAATTTATTGCACATTTTATATTTTTTAGTATATACGCTATGATCCAATGCATTGAATTTATTGCACATTTTATATCTATTAGTACATATGCTATGATCCAAGACATTGAATTTATTGCACATTTATATTTATTAATATATACACTATGATCCAAACATTGAATTTATTGCACATTTTATATTCATGCATCAAAATTTTTAGGAAAGTTACCGTTGAATTGTTTCAACGAGCATCTGCTGGTTAAACATATTTACTTATATTGCATAACAAATATCATATAATGATGAGCTGAGTACTGAAGCTTTAAATATATCTTCCCTCGTCTTGAAGCTTAGTCAAGGAGTTTTTTTATATTTAGGTGTGAAAAACAACCTTGGTGTAGTTTTTTGTTCATAAACATGCTTGTTTTATGTTGTTGTTTTTTACTCTTTTAAATCAAAACAAGTTAAATAATGTTGTTGCTAAATTAAGTACATAGTTTTTTCACCTTAGAATGGCACATCTTTAATTATAAAACATGTTTGCCTGTATTGATAATAAGGGCAGCAGTACGTCTACGGATTTACAACATTAAAATCATGGGTTCGATTCCCCTTGGTGGACACAGCAGATAGCCCAGTGTGGCTTTGCTATAAAAACAGACTTATAATATTAATTTCTAACTTAGTTAATTATTTTTTTTAGAATTTTTGCGTAAAGCTGCACACGGATTATCCGCACTTAGCCGTCTTAATTTTAAGCTGCTAGATTACACCGTTCTTAGACCACTTTTGTCTGACTTAATGCTGGGATTTGGCCGTCACTCTTATAGTGCACCCTCGACACTAGAGTGTTGAGCGCATTTTTGCGTCAAAGGAACGTAAACTATGAACACCTGGATATAGATTGAAATTGGTGTACTTTGCTGTTCATGTTAGAGGACTTGTTATCCAATATATGCAAATACGTTTCATGTTTCAAAGGTTGGGCACGCCCACCCATAGTTGAGCTGGTGCTAGTTGATATAGCTTAAAATTTCAGTACTTAGATTATCATTTTAGAAGCTTCTTTAATCTATATAGACTAGAACGCTTGATATTTCAAACTGTTGCTTAAGTCGTCAGTCAATATTTTAAAACCTTTTGACTAATATTTATATTGCGGTTTCTTTGTAAGAAGTAGCTGAGAAGTTCAAATTGAATAACGGTTTTAATTATATGAAATCCTTTTTCTTTGTAAGTCACAATTTAGCAACATTTTATGTCGCTCAAGTTGTCGTTCTTGTTAGTGAGGTGGTCACGTGATCAGGTTGAAGCAATAGAATGTACAGAACATTCGACAGTCAGTACAAGACAGCCCAGCGCACGAGATTGACTGTGCCCACTTGCACTCTTTGCCTTTTACTCTCTCTCTTGCGCGTTAGTCATTATTATGAAAATCTATTTGTGTTTAAACCAAATCATATACAAAGGACGTTCAAGCGAACTTTCCCCCAATCCTTTGAAGTAACTCAAAAGAACTTTTGCTTTTATGACTCTAATTCACAACTGTTTAAAGTAATAGTTTCTTTGCTACGTCATTTGTCTGCAATCCAGTAACGAAACCGTAAGTATTTGTGTGTGTTTATATATTTATACTCTATAGCAGGTAGAACGATGAACTCAAAAATAAAACTGAAACAATATATCGTGAAGCAAGGGTTTCATAAAATGATGTATTGTTTGTTGGAATGTCTGTTCTTTGTCGCATCATCAACTAGAGGAAATTGTAAGGTTTGGCACTGTGCTCGAAGACGCAAACTACAATTAAAAACTGTTAGCTTTTCACTGTGTTCTAATATACAGCCAAAAGTAAAAAATACATAGTCTATTTGGAAAGCTCATTCTCTCTCAAAATAAGAAAGTCTAGACTGAGAATGGGAAACACGTGTGTCTGACATAAGAATAACCCCTTTGCCATACACACGTTTAATACCTAAACCATAGAAATTACAAAATGTTTAAACTATAAAAAAAAAACATTGTCAGTTTTAAAATACATAGTAGACTAAAAATAAATTGAAACATTATCATATAAAAATGTTATAAGCTATTTGGTTTTGCATACGTTTATTCAATGTATGTGTTCTTAAATAATACAGGTCATAGTTAAATATTTTTTTTATAGGAGACTTTATAAGGCGGTCAGTTTTTAGTCTTAAAATTATTCGTTGCATTTTGATTAATTTTTTTTTTTCTGAAGATACTCTTTCAATAAATATACCATATTTTTAATCAATTGTTTCTTATCTATTTTTTTGCACAAACTATTTTAGTTTCATAGTTTGTTTCTTTGAGGTTAAACACAAAGCTACACAATGGGCTATCTGTGCTTAGCCCACCACGGGTATCGAAACCCGGTTTCTAACGTTGTAAGTCCGCAGGCATACCGCTGTAACACTGGGGGGCCGTATTAATAGATCTACAACAAAGTGATTAATTGACTTTGTATATTTTAAGAGGTAAGCTGAACGCTGAATGTCTTTGTTTAATAAACCTTCATCTGCCTGTACTGACGATCATATTTATTACGTTTTTTCAAGTAAACTTGATGTTGATTGTCATCTCACTATCTGTTTAATTACGTAAATGTCATTTTTGCAAGTTTCACCAAGCAAGTCAAACGTGAGTATCATGTCTTTCCCTTTTAAACTAAAATATTCTATCTAAGTGGGTGAGGTGTGGCCTCGTAGATAGTTCGTTGAGCAATTTATTTCAGGGATTAGGGTTTAAACATCATTATTTCAGGGATTAGGGTTTAAACATCATGCTGCTGAATATACTCCACACACTGAGATTTGACGCGTTATAAAAGTGACAGTTTATTCCTGTCTTGGTATTAAGTTCAAAGATCCGGGCCAGGCTAGGTTCCTTCCCCTCGTCAATAAAGAGCCGGGCCAGGCTAGGTTCCTTCTTCTCGTCAATAGCTCCAAATTATGGATCTAAATCCTTGCTCACGTGCATAAAAGTTCTATCTGGGCTGAAAATTTTAATTGTCATTTGAAATAATTTGTGTCATTTTTTAAACTTCACCAGATAAGATATACTTAGAAAATCATGACATTTCCTTGTTCATATTAAACACTATATATATATATATATCTGTAATTGTGATTTTAGCAAGTTTCTCCATACAGACTAACGACAAAATATGATGTCACGCCTATTTTAACTAAGACACTTCATTCGCTTAATGCCAATTTTTTGATAAGTTTTGCCACATGAACCAAACGTAGAATGTGATTTCATTCCCTTGTTCAACTAAAACACCCCAACTGTTGAATTTCAGTTTTTGTTTAGTTTCGCCATTTGAATTAAACGTAGAATATGATTTCATTCCCTTGTTCAACTAAAGCACTCTATCTGTTGAATGTCAGTTTTCTAAGTTTTGCCACATGAACCAAATGTAGAATGTGATTTCATCTCTTTATTCAACTGAAACACTCCAACTGTTCAATGTCAGGCTAGTAACTAACTTTATAAGGTAAGGTAAGCGGAGGATATCATAACATTGAGTTGTTCAACTAAAACATTTTAACAATTTTATATTTTACTATGTGTAGAATGTATCATTACTCCATTGTTGAATACACTTTGTCTGTGTAATATAATTTTACTTAGTTCCCCAGGTAAACTAAAAGCAGAACATTATATTATTTCACTGTTCGAACAGAGCTTTCAAATATGCGTGTATTTAACTTTCTTAAACTTTACTTTGGAAGCTAACGTGTAATACTATGTTATTTCTGTGACGGATTGACATACTATGTTATTATTGCTCTTCTAAAATTAATTTTGTTAGTTAACAAATTTATAAGACATTTTTACATTTGTCACTTACGAGTAAATATTATTCTCTTTCAGATATTCTGCGTATTATGTTTAATTGTTGTTATTTTTTTCAATACGAATAATGGTAATGTTTACAAAACTCTAGATTTTATATTAATATTTCTTTGATCCTTTTCGTATCTCCTATGATACTAAAGTGCACTTTTTGTTTCAAGAAAATAGTTTTGTAATACGTACGTTTACTGGGTTTGAATCTTATGAATATTTTATAGTTTGTTATTAATGCTGATCAATTCTTTTAAAACACATTATTTCCAAAGTTATAGTGGTGTTGTTTAGCTAATAATTCAGAATGATTTGATACTGGAGGTTTTGAGTAATAGTTGAAAGTAAAAACGGTAATATAATATTTATTCATTATATGACTGGCTACATCTAAAACTTTCTAGAAGAACATTCTGGAATCATTAGGTCTCTACAATGGTCTAACTTCCATATAGTTATTGAATTATATTCCAAGTCTACGTATATAATACCCCAAAACGTTTCACAATACTTAGAAAAATAGAAAAAAAAAAAACTTTGTAATTCCACTAAAATCTACCTTCATGTACTGGGGTCATGTTTCCAGCTTACACCATAATGTTTTTATCAGTTAGACGTTTCTCTGAGAATTGTGTAACAAAAATAAAGCTGAATGGTTTTTATAAAAAAACAAGATGAAAACAGAGAAATAAACCAACTAAATAATGGCTAAAAACTGCCCAACAGTATTTAAACCTTAGATTTTAATTACGTTGGCAATTGCATAATGATAACATAATAGATTTAGAGAGCATAATTTGTCTGTGAGATCTGTAAATATTACGTTTGTCTGTAATTTATTGAGATAAATTATCACCACTGTTGCTTTGTTGTTGTTGTTTTTTATATATTTAGAATTTTCACGAAAAGCTATACAAAAGCTATTTGTGGATAGCAGTCCCTAATTTTGAAATTACTAGAGGTAAGACAGCTAGCCAACACCACCCACCGCTATCTTTTGGGATACTCTTGTCTGACAGAATTTTTTTTTTTTTATTCGTTGCACGTGTTTAATTTTAAATGGAAGTTAACTTTTCTCAACTGAGGTGTTTAGGGATATTAGTATCCCCTTCGCTCCGCTCGTGAAGATTACTTTTAACTAAGGTGAGCATTTCATAACTGTACTAAGATATTAGTCTTGGTTTATTTTTTTCTTTGAGAGCTGGTGAAAGTAGAGATGACGAAGTGAAGGCAGGGATGGCGTGGTGAAGGCTGGCATCCCGGATTTCGACAACTATCGACAAACATTGACGGCTCAAAATTAGGGTCACAGGTTGGCGTGGATCGATAAATCCAGTGTTGTGGAATTTGTTGCGGGGGGTAACGGGAGTACCCCGAGAAAACCCACTTTCACAGGACATGCGCCGAATAATCTACCTGTCCTGTGCCCAAGATGTAAGGCAAAAACATGAGATTAGTTATATAAACTTAAACGAAGCTCATGGTATGTGCGTATTCTGTGTTTGGCTGCGGTACATACTGCACAGGGATATTGTTTTGTGTGGTGCACATATGTGAAGGGCAGAGGTTAATGTATTTCTTGTTTCTGCTTTTTGAAAATAATTTTAGCCAATGTATTTAGCCTGTCTTTAAGTAGCGGTAATTTGCTTACTTTGTGTAAATAGCTAACAGGGGGGGGGGGTGTACTTTGGAAGCCTTAGGGCTAATCTTAATACTCTGTTCTCCTGATATTGTGGTTTCTTAACTGTGTTGTTTGACATATTTATAACGACATATTATAATGGATCAACTATACACTTTGTAGATCTTTAAGATATAGTGTTAGTTTTACATCCTATATTTATACCAACAATAAGTCTGAGGTGTCTAATACGTTTTTTCTTCTTTTTTTTTACACACAACAGTAAGATTGGACGTCAGTTTTATAATACATCACAAAGAGAAGAGCCATGAGCCCTGTAATTCAAAGTCCAGGCACATTAGTTACTGGACATGCCCAGCTCTTGTTTCGTCATAATTTTAAAAATCTCCCATTTATGTTTATTTTAACTTCTATAAAATGAACTACTGAAACTTTATCATCTAATAATCTTACTTAATATCAGAGTTTAAAACTCACGTAGTTTTTTTTCCTATTTGAATAGTTTTTTTTGATTTATTCCTTATCAAGTGTTTTGCCTATTTTATGACGCGTGTGTTTTGAGTTAGAAACAGTATAAAGTTACAAGTCATCAGTTATCTTGCCACGGAACTATACTGTGCCGCTGCTCAATACTAAGTTTTAAATTATAGAGAGATAATCCGACTATTACAGGAGATAAACGACTTTCAGTGTAAGTCTGGAACGACAAAAATATAAAAGCGAAGCCCACCGTTTTTTTTACTAAGTCTTTATATACACTGTTGAAGGAGATAAACTTTATTCACATTTCGCAATATCCAAGGATTTATTTAACACTTGTGCTGTATCCTTTAACATTTCACTACAAAGTTGTGGAAGATGTAGTACAACAGTCTGAAAGTTTGAATTGCCTTAGGGATTAGTATTGAAGTACACGTACATATTAATGTATTAGAAATGGTACTGCTAAGAATGTCGCACTAGTTCCACATCTATCTGTCTTTCCCAAAATCGATTTGGGGACCAGCTATACATTTTAGCGAAATTGACTGAGACTGCAAATTGGGGGTAGTCTTCTAAATTTCTTTCTGAAGAAGATTCTAACCAGC